TTTTTGTAGGCCGTAACGGCGTTACGAAAAAAGACCCTTTTTTTCGAGTGCTATCAACAAAAACGTGAATTCCGACAAAGGTAAAGGTCATAATGAAAAGTTTTTAGCACAGAAATTGTAGAGCACAAAACGGGCTATCCAATGGTAAAAAAAGAATTTTTCCAATATCTTCAGTTAAGGCAAAAACATCAAAACATAAACGTAACGGTGTTACGCACCATTTTTGTCGAGTGTTTTTGAGGGACCTAATATGATCAGAAGATTTTGATATTTATACATATAATTAAATGTGCTACAGTCAGCCGATATGCGCAAGAATAAAGTCGCTACCTCGGGTTGGAGGGTCAAAAACTGTAAATTAAGTCGGCAAATGTACAAATTTTCTAAAGCGCTGAAGCTCAAAACCAAATACGCCATTTTGTAGCGAACTAAATTTTCTACGAAACCATATGTTTAGAAATTTATTTTTCGAAAACTTTCTCGGCTAAAAATAGAAAATCCGATTTTTGAAAGTTCAAAAACCGGTTTTGAGACTCAAAAACCAATTTTTATCAAAACAGCGTTTTAAACAGGTTCTTAGAATTAAAAATTACATCTAGTGATGTATTCAAAAGTTTCGAAAGCGAAAATATTCTTTTTATAAACTTGATCAGCGAAGTGTCGCGTTACGTGAACAAGCTGATCATCTTTATTATGAAAAAAAAACTTTGTTTCGTAGAATTTAGCCTTTCTTCAAGATTTATAAGAATTCTTGTCAAATACTATCTCATTTCATATTTAATGGTAAGCCAATAATTGATTTTTATCACTCCCGTTTTAGCTTATCAAGCCTTTATTTCGTGTAAATGAATCCAAACAGTTATAGTTTGGAAATCATTTTTCTATTTTCTTTGTTTAAATATTACTAAGAGTAATTGTTTTATAAAAAAATTCGTATATACATAGTAATTGTATAAAAACACATTAATAAAAAAGTATTATGTGCATTTCATAGAAAACTCAAAAAACGTAAAACACATAAAACATTTACAATTAATAGAAAAAAAAAAGAAACATGACATTCTAATTAGCTATCATTGCTTAACAAACAGATAAACAAAAACAAGTTCTATATTTGACATATTTTCAGACTTCTCATCATAAACTTTATGGACTGGACTAGTAATCAGTCTAACAGCTAATATAATCCTGAAACGGATGAATGACAGTGAAATAGGAGAAATTATTGCGTTAAAAAAACAAAAACACAATTATGTACATGATAATGAGCATAAGTATTAGAAGAAATAATTAAAATTATTTTTGTCTACAATAAGAAATATAGTTTAACGATTGGAAAAACCGGAATAGAAAAAGATATAAAAATGGAATGTAGAAAAAAGAAGTAATAAAACAATATTCTTATTGGATCGGAATGTGCAATAAAACACAAAAAAGCATAACATTGTATTTGTGTCGTCATGTTCAGAAAATATTCAAATATTACATAGTTTACTTTTGTTCACATAAACATTGAGATTGTAGATAACCGTCATACAAAACAAAAAAACAATTTAATCACAAACAATATTATTGTATAAAAATATACAAAAACAAATGGATTAAAGGACAATATTCTAAAAAAGAGACAGAAAGAAGGATCAAATATATAAATGGAATGCATTTTAAGATCATCCGGTAAAAAATTCTTGAGTGTGTAAAACAAAGTTGTACAATGAGATACACCAAAATATTTCTGTTGTTTTCAGATCGAATAAATTATTTCAATAAATTAATAGTCAATTTAAACAGAACAAAAATTAAAAATATTGATAATTTTGTTCGAATGATAGATGATGCTGCATTATGATAGAGTAAACTGGTATCTGGATTATATACTATAAAAGAAAAACAAATAGTTAAAAACATATTTCATCGTTAAATAAACTTAAAAATACTTACATATTAATAAACGACCATCATTATCTAAAAGTTATGATAAAAAAAAATTGTTTATAAAAAATAAGTATTATATAACAAAAGAACTTACCAAATCGAAATTCTTTCTCTGGTGAACTATATTTGCCTTCACCACCCAATGAGTATGCTTGTACACGAAGTTTATAATTTCGATTTTTATATAAATTTTCAATTGTCCATTTATATTTTGTTGCTGGTGTATAATAAATAGTGGCATTTCTTATACTCTGATAATGTTCCCAAACTTTGATCTAAAAAAAATCACAATCAATAGATAAAATTCTAATTTCTTGAAAATATTTTACTTTCACAAATTTAATAAACAGCTCTTACCATATAACCTTCAATGGGTTCTTCATCAGCCGTATTCGATATTCCGCGCCACTCTACTTCTAGTTTATACATGTATAGATCATTTAATATTCTAACACGTCGATCTTTTTCTCGTCTAGGCTGACGAATCGAAACATATTGTGGTGGAGTCATGGGCGGTAAACGAAATGTACGATGTGAAAATTCACTACTTTCAGGTGAATCACCAAATTGTGTATAAACAAAAACTCGTACTTTATATTCTGTGTTTGGTTCAAGGCCTATAATAATAGCACGACTACGTTGGCCAGGAAATCTTCTATCCCAATAATTTTCTAATTCAATTAAACCTTCTGCCCAATAGCGAACATTATACCCTAAAAGTTTTCCATTTAATACACCTATATCAGTTTCATCAATCATATCCCATGTGACAGTCATTGCTGTACTATTATATGCACTACATTTAACATTCATTACTTGGCGCGTCGGCCGGTTCTCAGCTGATTTGATAATAACACTAGGCGATACTGGACCTTCACCAAGAGCGTTAACAGCCGATATTCTTATAACGTATGTTTGATAATTGGCTTTATCGGCTAAATGTGTTATATAAAAATTTCTCAATGGATCTGAAACATTAAAAACTAATTCTTGATTCTCTTTATCTTTTCGAGCATAGATTCTGTATTGTAAATTTGGTCCATTCCAGAAATCCATTGGCAATGGCTGAAACGAAATACATGTGGAATAAGTATGTCTTTATTCTTTTATAAAATATGCGTACCTCCCAAACAACACGTAAATCTCCCACTTTGCCACCGCCTCCTCCTAAACGAGCTGGATAGGCTCCGGGAATATCTGGCTGTGTGACACATGGTGGACTAACTTCAGAATATTCTCCGGAACCATACATATTCGTACCAAAAACACGAAAACGATAATCTGTAAATGCTGAAAGATTCATTACTGGCACTTGTACAAGACGATTCGCTGGTAATGTTATTGTATAATTGGCCAACGAATACCAATATGGGCGATGATTTGTTAATGCTTCAACTGTATAAAAAATAATTGTTGAACCATGATCTGTACCAACCACAAATGATAATAAAGCTTGTCGTTGTTGTGCTTGTGAACAACGAACACCGGCCATTGGTCCTGGCGGTCCAAAAACATTCAATTGATATTTAGATGTTGTTTCATCAACAGTCGTTATTGCAACACACGTATAGATACCAGCATTTGAATATTGTGCACGTACAATACGTAAATCACCTGGACGATCTAAATTATCTTGCCGATACCTTTTATTGTCAATATTTAACAATTCACCATTAAAACGCCAATAAAATGTTAAATCCATTTGATTCATACTACGAGCATCGCACGGTATTACGATTGTTTGATTAATAATTACATCGCGTCCACCAGGCGGCGTGATGATGGTTGTACCTTCAGCCATTACATATAAATACGTACTCATTTGTGACACACCAAATGGGTTCGATGCCACACACGTATAGTTTCCTTTAGGAAAAAACCCTTTTTAGAAATTCTTATTAAAATAAGAAAAACAATTGTCTTACCAGCATCAGTCAATTGGATATTTGAGATGGCCAAATTTCCATTTGGATATATCACAACATTTCCACCAGATGCAAATTGTACATTATTTCTGAGCCATTGTATTTGTGGACGTGGTGCACCTTCTGGATTACAAATAATTGTTACAAGACTTCCAACGGTCGATCGTAATGTTGGTAACATTGGATTTTTACCAAATGTTGGTGGTAATTGAATAACACGTAGTTCAGCTGTACTAAAACGTGTCACACTATTTTGAATATTGGTTGCTGCACATTGATAAACACCACTATCAGTTGGCTGTATATTTAAAATTTGTAATAAATTATTATTGATTCTTACACGTTGTTGTAGCACGGCCGTTATTCGAGACCAGACAATTTCTGTCCCATTACTAAACCAACTATAGGTAATTTGATCATTTGGATAAGCTTCACAATACCATGATAGAGTGGTACCAATATCTAAGACTTGATCTTCTAATGGAACAACAAATATTGGATCAATTTGCAGTTGTAATGTTACTTTTTCACTAATAACTGTTCGAACATTTGTTACTTCACAACGATATGTACCAATATCATCTCGTTGAAGATTTGGTATGATAACTTCTCGATTATAATTAAGAAGAACAGCTTTAGATTGTAACGGTAATAATTGTCCAAATTCATCGACACGATACCAACGATATTCGGGTATTGGATAACCTTCAGCTACACATTCAATCGATGCATTTTCACCTAATTTAGGTAATCGTGTTGTGGGAAATACATGTGGAAAATTGGGAAATATACGTGGACTACGTTCTTGACCAAATGTCGATCGTACTTCTAGTTCTGTTCCTTCACTTGTTTGAGATGGTAAATAACGTAAACGTGGATTATCCGATTGAACAGCACAATAGTATTTGCCAGAATCACCATCAGTCACACGTGAAAAATATAAATTACCGTTACGAGATATAAAACGTTCACGCGTTTGTTGAACTTTTTGATTAATACCACCTTTGAACCAGGCATAATTGAGCTAGAATATATACGTTTCAGAAACATGTATATTTACTTTATGTGAAGAGTTTAACATACATCGCCTGTGTTCGTGTTTTTATATAAACAATCGATAATAGCATCACGATGACCATCAGCAACAACTTTTGGACGTTCTCGTTTTTCAAATTGTCCAAGTGCTACAAAATATTAAAAGAAGAACATAAAATATTAATACTAAATTGATTTGTTCGTGTACACTTACTTATTTCTCTTAAATTAACTTTATTACTGACAGCTGTGCCATAATTATTCCATGCTTTACAAAAATATGTTCCACTATCATCACTGACCGGAAAATTAATCATCAAAGCACCACCGTGTTGAAAATATCGTGGGTTTGTTAGATTTACTTCGATTGCTTGAGCTAGTAATTGCCCATCTGTACCCATTTTGAACCACCTGTAACAAAAATAATTGCTAGAAAATAAAATAAGGAAAAAACCAACAATATACCGATAGTTGGGTATCGGAAACGCATCCGCTCGACACGTCAATGTCACAACAATTTCAAGATTATATTTATTCATTCCAAATGAACTGCCAAACGTTACTATGTCTAAACGTCCAAATTCTTGATCTGCCGGTTGTTCATAAAATTTTGGTGCACGAGGGATAAAACGTCTCTCGATATTCGATGGTAAACCATATTCTAAAATAATTAACAAAATAAATATTAAATTTTATTCTAGAGTAAAGGAGAGAGAAGCGTTACCTATTCCACGATAATTTGACAAAACACCGTAGGTATCACGAATCAATACTTCACATGTAAATGCTAATGTTTCTGTTGGTGCCATATCGTATGGAAGCCAACCCCATTGACCATCTATAGAAGAAAATATTTAGTAGGGATCTTTGTTTACAGTTCTCATGAACTTACTCTGATATGCATAAACTAAATAAGATCTAGTTAATCGATCATTTTCTGTTCGTGGTAACCATCCTTGATCAAACATAAACGGAATGTTTTGTTGATTTTTGAACCATTGCCATTGCATCCCATTTCGCCGTCCACTTGTTAACCATTTTTGTGTGGATGGATCATTGTTATTTAACCATTCTTGAACAAACAAATGTTCTGGTAATGTTTCGACACTAAGTAAATTCGACTAAAATACAGAACGTAAATGTCGCTATTTCTGAACGTCGAATTCATGATCTATTAAATTGTTTATAAAATATTCGTACATAAGGAATACAATATCGTTCAAAACCAAACTTACTTGACAAAGATCAATTGCACTCTGATATGTTCCTTTAGGATAACGGACAAATCGATAACAAGATGCTGTACCGAGAAATTCATACCAATCATGTGGACATTCTTAAGAAAAGAAACAAATAATTGTGAAAAACGGAACAAATTGTTTACCTCTTATTTAAACATACCTAAGAGTTGTGCATATGTACAAATAACAATGAAACCGAAATATAAAATAAGTCGCACAAGCATCTAAAAAGTTATGAAAAAAATTTAGTGTTATAATTTGAAATTTTTTGTGAAATAGAAGCTACAATCAAATTTTAGTAGAATGTCATATAGCTTTTGCAATAAATATTTGCGCCCACACTTTTTTGTTGTATCCAAAATGATATGTCGAATAGAACAGTATCACAGATGGACTGAAGATGGTATCTACTTGTCTTTGAAAAAATGTCATCGAAAGCTCGAGTGTTTAAAATAAATTCAGAAGAATTTTATTAACATGTTTTTCATAGCAGTATTATACTTTATATTTAAAACTTTATTTCCAACTGCTCATTCGAATAATTTTTTCATATACACCATGTTTTTCAACTGATTATTTACATTCAGATTAATATAGCTCTGTTAAAAAAAATAAAATATACATATTTGTTTCAGAATATTAGTTCACGTTGTTTACATGAGAGAATATTATCATTAAAAGCATCGTTCTAAACTACCACCGAAGAGCTGTTGATAGTCTTTATTTAAAAAAATATGATGTTGCATCGGCAGCGGATGATATGAGGCAGTTCTTGAGAACAAACAGAAAAACACTTAACTTAAGCATTGTTGAGATTTTTTGTAAGAAGCTAATATTCTAGATAGAGACTGTCATTAACTCTGTACTAGTTTCGAACTTGCCAACGATGTAGCTCTATAAAGAGGATGAGCATTTTTAAATAAATGATAGAATAAAGAGTATAATACTACTACGAAAAACATGTCAGATTAATTAAAATCCACTTGAACTGATATATCTGTTTGGATTATGTTTTCTCTCTTTGTTCATATTTTCACTCTCTGTTCAAGTTGTCACTCTCTCTCTGTGACAATTTCTCTACAATTTCTAATTCCAGTTTGTTTTACTACTATTGTGTAGGTATATAATAGTACTAATTTTCATTTTTCTTGTCATATTATTTCTGACGATGGTGAGAGCGTTCCCAGAAATCTCGAAATAAATAGTTCAAGTGGCTTTTAATTAATCTAACATGTTTTTTTTTAGCAGTATCATATTCTTTATTCTGACATTATGAACTCGCGATTTATTCGACCACACGAGAACCAGTGTATGCATTGTCATGAGAGGGGTTGCTTCTTAGTAACAGCATTTAGGATAAAGGTGAAAATGATAGGGGAATACTACATTTTTTAAACTATTGGTAGTTTCAGCTACTCAGCTTAATTTCTCAGAAAAAGATAGTTGAGATAAACGCATGGAGAAAGCGATGTTATCTTGCTCATTTCACATCTCGTACGAAAAGAGATCTTCTATTGCTTCTACTGACCAACCACGATCAGTTCACAGAAATATATCTACTTTCATCTTAATTTCTTTGCTTGCAAATTCTTACTATATAATAGTGACATGAATGAGATGTGCATGTAGTTATGGGCGGAACTAAGGCTTTTCAGTCCCGGTCCCGTAAAGTTGTTTCGGTCCCTTACACCATACGAAAAAATACTCACGCAACTGTCAAAAGAAATCTTAGTTCTAGTGTCGATCCCGGTAAAAAACTTTTCTTGTCTCGATCCCACCCATGTCTATGTGCCTGCAAATGTGACTTTATAGATTCATTCCTTTTCTCTATGCCCTATTCTATTTTGGATAAAATCAGCAAAGATCCCGGTGAAAACGCACAATGAATCCCGTGTGTAAAAATTTGAATAAGATCAAAGGCGGCGTGGGTGACGGCGCTGAATTTCTTCTCACGAGAAGCAAGTGAGAAGGCCGACAGAAAACCAGGATCTGACATACGTTTTTTATACAAGTTTTTGTATCAAAACTATTACCGTCCTTCTATTTGTATATCATTTTAAAATTTCTTCAGGGTAGGCAGCAATACATTCCGATGGTGTCTACAATAATAAGCAAAGAAATGCACTGGTATGAAAAGTAACGATGACTCTGTAGAATCTATTTACGCTACGAGACATACTTTTTTCTAAAAAGTAGTTAAAGACTGTCCCGTATTATTTTACTCTATTTATTTGAATAAGTATTGAGTATAATACAAAGACAACCGCTAAAAGTTTACATACCAATGGAATAAATAGTTGAATATTAATATCTAATAGTTTTTATTTAGTTAAGCAACAGTAGGTCGAAGAAGGATCATGACTATCGTGTTCACTCAAATGAAAATAAGTCATTCATTTACTTGATTCAATACCCCTCATATTATCATCACAATTCTCACTATCAAGATTATGATATCAAGTAAATTAACGTCTTTAAATTTTGTTTTAGTTATTTAACTATTGATAGTCTGTGTACGAACAAATCTATGTGACGATTGAAAAAAAAATCAATTATCTCTCCGTGAATACGTTTTACGCAAAGCTCTTTTGAATGGCGGCCTTAAAACTATTTAGTTCTTCTAGATATCCCTATCAGAAAATGATCTGGACGGACGGTTATATAGGTGTCAAATTTTTATCTTGAAACGGTCATTCGAAAGAACATTCGCGTCGAGAACAATTAAATTTCGTTCGATAGTTATGGAAAAACCCCATATAACATTCTTATCTGGACTGCTTATCAAAATTTGAAAATATAGATTGTGAACTACGAGATTTTATTGTTTGTGGTTCGAAGGATTCCGTTGTATCACTAAAATATTGTTTATCTTTTCGTTTTGTGGTTCGCTCTAGCGAACAATTTTGTGTTGTATTTCGACCATTTTTCGATTCTGACATGAGTTTTAATACTCCATGACCAATTCCATACACTTTTCCATCGTATGTCAACTTGCCATATACCGTACCTTAAAAAAAGTAAAGGAACGCTATTTACATGAGTATACACCGAAGAGTGAATCTTTTACCCATTTTTAATGTAAAATTAATTTTTCGTATTACAGCTTCTTCATTTGTTCCTAAATCATCAAATCTTGCTAAGATATATTCAAGAATATTGTCATATGTAGCTTGTGAATTTTCTTTGTGTAATACACAAATAGCTTCACGTACAGCATATGCAAATGCACGACGTTTCGTCACCACCACTGGCAAAGGCACAACTTGACTTGTATCTTCATTACCAAGTAACTTTGAACAATCACCTTGTCGTCGTTTTGCTTTTTGTAATGATCTAGTTGGACTTTGTGTTTTAGTCTTTATCAGCGACATTTTGGATGGTTGATAAAACGATGTTTCACTGCCATCTTGTGCTGTTGTTTTCATTAACTGTTCAGAAGCTGAATGACGAGAAGCCGATGCTGTTGGTGAAGCTTCGATCTTTTTTCTGAGAGAGGTGTGCGATGTTTGATTATTCTTCTGCGGTTGTTTCGTTCTACTAAAACTGTCTGCTGGTTGTGCGGATAAAAGTTCCTTTGCCTGGCTTGAACGTGTTTCTAAGGATTTCCAACTTGACTTTTGTTCATCTTTCAATTTGAAATTTTGATCTTCAAATACTCGAGATCTGGACGGTGATTTACGTCGATTACCACTTTTACCTTGACCAATGTCTTCGTCAGTCGATTTTGGGATTTTTTGTTGTTTAAATTGCGTTGGCAAACGTAGTTTATGACTTGGTGAATTTTTACCCACAGACTTTAACAGTTCCGCGCAAAATCGAACTTTTTCTTCATAGCTTACTTTTGGTTGAAACCAGTCTGTAGCCATATCAGACGCCATACTTTTTCTTAGTAGAAAATCGGGTGAGAAACAAAATTTAAAAAATTACACAGATAAAACAAAAACGAACGTTATTTTATTGACAGAGTTAAACCAACTCAATTCATAGCGATAAACCATGCGCCAGAATAGTCGTTCATAGTTACAATTAATTAATTCAGAATTGGATGATGTGTATGCATCAGTTTAATCATGGAATAAAACATTTAATCAGTTTACTTGTGTTTCTCCCATCCAACAACATAATGTTACTAATGCGATGAAAAATACATTTAAGCAGATACCCAAGCAAAAACGACCCAATTTTTTGGGTTATTTATCTAGATTCAGTTCCACGTGCATCTAGATGTACGTGGAGTTGAATCTAGATAAATAACCCAAAAAATTGGGTCGTTTTTGTTTGGGTAATTACTTTATAATTTCAGGAATTTCAGGAGCTACAAAATGATATATAGGATATTCCGAACAAAATGGGGCCTGTAGATCCTAACACTAGAAATACTACTGGAAAGTGATGTTTTCGGCATCGACTTATAAGCTAAATCCATATAAAACCGTTTACCATTTACATGGGCCTTTGACGCCAGTGACGGGACCTATCTCACATCATAGAGCTCAGCAAGCTGAACCGAATGGTGAGAACCGCAAGTCTCCAGCCTTGTTAGAAAAAAAGCTATAGCCATTTTACCCTCGCAGCAGAAAAATGCATTTTCGTCATTTTCCGGCAGATTTGGCCTAACTTGTAGAACGTCTGCTGACTTCAAGGTTCTACGTTAGGGAATGTGGTTGACCTATCGATTTGTGAAGGTCGAGGCTAGTATTTCTAGTATTAGGACACTCTGGCCCCATTTGTTCTCAGTATTATATATATCATTTTGTAGCCCCTGAAAGTCTCTATCGAATGATATACAGTAGTTGAGGTTTGCTTTGAGCAAAGGGAAGAAATGGGGAAAATACTCTAAATAAAGTTCATTTAAGGGGAGGAAAGTTTGGATGCGGAGTTTTTTCCAGAGGAGGTGAAAATGGTTTTTTGAGGTGCTAGTTTTAATCACGGAGAAAAACTACATCAGACTTGTGAATATGCGCTTGATCTGAGAGGGGACCGATTTTGCCTCTTATCGACCCTCGTCGTTTTATATAAAAATTTTAAAATATCTTAAAAATATGTCAATATTTTCAAATTCAATAATTACTAATGAACACTTAGCGTTTTTTCCACTCATAATATTTTAATTCATCAAAATATGATTCCGACGGGATTGTCATTCAAGAATCATCAATCAAGTAAATCTTTGAAGAGGGCTACTTTGTTAAGTCGAAACGTGTCTGACATAAAGTAAATCATTTATGTATAATTTCATTCTATCAAAATAACTATGTGAAAGAACAAGATGTGTTGAAATATACAGTACCAGGACCAGTCTTTAATTTTTTTTAATTTTATTTGCTCACCCTTTACGTACTACTGCTATAAAGGACAGGTCTTTAGCTGGTTCTCTCGCCGAGATATAACAATTGGATTGTCGTATGCATAGGTTTTAGAGCCTCCTGTCGTTGAAACATGAAATATTTTTTAAAGAAAAAATGAATTCTCAATCTATTTCTTATGAATAATTTGAAGCACAAGACGAAGTTTCTCGAAATCTATAAATGAATTAATTCTTTAGTTTAATTTTTTAGGCAGATAAATCAACATAATGTTATTACAGACACTTTAGTCGTTTTCTGTCCCGTGAGATTGAATCTCGCAGATCTCAGCTAAAACTAAATGTAACCTGTATCGAAAATAGCCAAAAGATGGCGCACAGATTGAGAATCATTTTGATAAAAAAAGTTAAAGATCAATGCTCTCCGTCTTGTAAGAAGTAACAATTACTTTTCCAGAAACAAAGCTTTAGATACCAAATGTCTCGCGAGATCTTCGATTTTGTTTTTCTGATATCCCTGTTAATACTCAACATTTCTCTACGATTTTCTTATTCTGTTTTTTTCTCCGGTGATATAGAGGATACGCTAAAATTTAAATTCAAAATATTATGTCGCTCCTAAAGAAAACCAGTTTTATGAGAAAAATGTCCCAGTAGAAAAATACACTAAATTTAATTTTATCATATATCATTCGATAGAACTCGACGAGACAATTATAACCATGTATGTCTGAGAGCTTTCTTATCTAGTAATTGGCATTTTAGGGCTGAAGAATACTGAATGATACATTATCTCAGAAGTTTGTATATAAGAGGAACTTCAACTGGCAATAAAATGTGTTGAATTACACATCATTATAGAGATCTCATTGAAATCTATTGATTGAAAGGTCATTTTATGTCGTCTTCATCGCAATGGGCTGGAAGATTGTCATGCTTTTCGTAGCGAAAACTCATGTTGACAGAAATGAAAGTGGCAGACGAGAAAATTTTTTGTTTATCATTCTTTGGCCGTCAGAATTTACTGAGATAGTTAAAATAGTTCACATAAAAATTCATTTTTTTACGTTTTTTTCATAGTAATGGGGAAATTTTATCGATTTTTTACGCGTGAGGGACCGTGAAATGTAAGCTTGAACTTTCACGAAATTTTGGAGGTAAAGACAGCAAGTTTCACGACAGTTTGGTCGTGTTGTTGCAACATCACACGCGTGGCTACGCATGAAAAATCTTCACATGTGTACACAAGTGAACAATCTTCACGCGTAATAACGTGTGAAAAAATCTTGACCATGTCGACCATCTATAGTCAACCATGGTCAAGGTATAATGCAGATTCCATCAATGCAACTTCATCTAGTACTTTTTCCACGTGTGACCACTAGTTTCTAAAATATCACATTTTATACATATCACTGCGAAGTTAGAGTCGAACCAGGGTACTTTGAATTAGAAATCTACGATACTACTATTGAGCTAAGTTGCCTGAGAACCTACTGAATAAATCTCATATTCATAGTTGTCGAATCAATCCTCACCAGTTACCACGTGTAAAAAAGTTCCCACGCGTGATTACTCGTGAACTTCCTAAATCTTTTTTCTTAGTTTCCAACTTTTCCAAACTTTTTTAGTTAATACTTTCTCCCGGGGAACAAGATGCTTCCCAGGCATATTCCTACAGCAAATACCTTCGGTCTACAGCAAAGGTTTTCATCTGTATGTATGTACAACTTTCGGAAGATATAGGAGAAACTTGTATTTATGCTTGCCGCTCAATCTTCACGACATTTCGCACCTGTAAAAGGTTTCTCACGTGGACGCGCGTGAAACATAAGAATTTTGTCGCTTAGAGTTAAGCGTGAATATTATTCACGAAATGGGTTGCGTGAAAAACTGACGTGCGAATAAATGTGAAGATATTTTTCACAATGAAATTAGTAGGAAACATTTTCATGCGTGTCCGCAAGTGATATTTTTTTACGGAAATTTTAACACGAAAAATTCACGTGTGGCCACTACATACTTCACGACTTTCACCTGTGATCATGAGCAAAAAATATGACGCAAAACGTTTTCGTGACCAGTTCACCCGTTGTCACAAGTGGAATATATTTTTCACGCGTGCTCACACACCATTTTACGATGTTCACGTACGACCACAATTCATTTCACGATATTCACGCGTCTACACACCGCGATACCTACTAAACTTTCCCCATGGGTACAATAACAGCGCAAACAGCACATTTATCTGATTAGTATTCCTGTACTAGTTAATGTTAGTATATCACGACAACAACCACTAGCACCATTATTTGTATCGTGGAAGATAAGAATATTTGTCACCGTTTATTTCGCACCCAATGCAATGAGAATGGATTGATAATATTGACACATCACAAAAATTCTGCATTAAACTCAAGATGTTGTTGAGTTGAAGAATAATACTCGATTTATTTTTCCAATTATTATTATAAGTGTTTCAGTCTCAAAACTGTGATCAAACAACAATATAGTAATATCTTCAGCTAAAACAGACCAACTACAACCTAATAATCACCATAGTTCAAGTAAACAAATTTATGCGCTCAAACCTCATAAAAAAACCTAATTTTACTTCAAATAAGTCGTAATAAAATGAATAATATTAAGTATAGAAGAAATTTCAGTAATATGTAAATTAAAAATAGCTAAATCAACAGATTTTCAAAAGTGATACACATAATTAGACAGAGGAAGATTTACAGTTTATACAGTTTCCATGCCCAAACTGAATAACAATCTTAGAATCATAAATATTAGTCTGACAGAAATTAATCAACAACTCAAATTATTTAATCGAGGAAACGCTGTATCTAAAAAATTTAATATTAAAGAAAGTAATCAGGTTCTAAAGTCCTAATAGCTACACCACAAATAATACCTAGTTCAGAACACTCAAAATATCAGATCAAATATCTACAATAACATACAATGTCTTAATATCCTTATGATTAGTAGAATAGAATCAACATAACATAATTACTATAAAAAAATAAAACCAGAAAGATAAGAATCGACGTAATAATAAAAAACATTTTATAATAACCCATTATATTATAAACAAATACAACAGTAAAATAATAAATCAATAATAAAACATCAACAAACATTATGAAAAAAGTTCATTTTAAATTAAACACCAGTCCAAAAATCAACATTAATTTATATACAAATAAAAAAGAAGTGCAACTATAAAAATATAACAATGAAATAACCATAACTATCAAGTTTATTAGCAAATATTCTACTAACGACAAATATCGTAAATCTAAAGAATTATTAAAACTCAATAATTTATAGTCAATATACCCCACAAGAATTGCACTCCCATAACTAGTAGAAGAGTAAAATTATCAACATTCAAATTTTTTGAATTATAAAAGCCCTGCAAAATCAATTAATCAATAACCTTAAGAATATAAAAATAAATAAAAAAGAACTTCTAAAATAAACCAACAACTTAATAAGTCAAAAATTAACCACCGATGTACAACTTGATTTTTGGCTTTGAAAACTCTATAACTCAAAAAGAAAAGAAATCACAAATGAAAAATCTAAATTTCTAAATTGTGATGTATAACATTATTCGGATATCCGTGGTAAAATTTTTGACTTGATTAAAAGAAATCTTCGAAGAATCGTAATGTATCTAGATTAAAATTCTCAGTGTTTTGAGCAGTGCATGAAGCATTAGACAGACCACTTTTTTCATGGTATTTACAACGATGCGCTTATCTCCGCGACACACCAGTGGAATCAATTTTGACAAAGATCTCATTATGGAGCACAGAGATTTTTTGAAATTTGAACAGCAGGTCATATACTTCAGCAAACGCTCTATCTCTTCGCTATTGGAACTTTTTTTCTAAGTGCCAAGCTTAGTGGGAAAATTACTAAGAAAGACTGGATCGAAAACAATGGTGCTTTTGGAAAAGTGAATCATGTGCAAAACCAAAGTAAGTTTGTAGAAAAATAACCACATATTCGGAATCAGTGGCAAATTCTCTATCGATTGCTAAAAAACCTTCCTAATTTTAGACTTTCTAAGCTGAAAAAAATATATAACATTTTTCTAGCGAGTTATCCGAAGAGGGGAGTTCAGTAAAATGCGTGCCCCAGTCACATCCAAGCTCTAATTTTGATGAAACTTTCACCGAATGTTCTTCTATATATTAGCTGTCAACAGTGTTAGCACAACCTTTAAAGGTGCCAGAAAGGGGAAAAAATCTTACAAACCTAAAAAGGTTGATTTATTATTATTTTTAGGCTTCACTGTCCCGAAATGTTACGGTAAATATATAACAATGTCATGCTAAACGTGTGACAATTTTATGTTACGGTAAAACGTAACATGTCATACATTTATCGTAACAATTTGAGACGGTGTTTTCAGCAATCATTCAAAACATTCATAACTTCTAGCTAAAAAGGGTTGTGGAACGCCGGCACTGATGTCATTTGCTAATCCACATTTTCCTCTACGTTAGGCTATGTTCAATTTTAAATCAAAAGAGGATAAAAACCTTAATAAAATGAAACCGAAAGCTGTAAAAATTCAACATTGAGTATCAATAAAATCGAATAAAATAGTTTATATGGTGAAACTACATTGAATTAAACTTATTTGAGAAATTTCTAAAACATTTTCGCCATTTGAAATAACCGCGGAATGATATTATCAAGAAATAAAGATGAAACGACGAGCCTAGACATGTGGTTGAAAATTCAATCAAGTGAAGCAGGAAAAGAAACTGTATAGAATCGAGGAAGAAGAGGACTCATTCGGTGGTTACAAATAGTTTGCATCCGATTATAATACGTGTCGACAAATGTGGGTGAATATGAATCACTAACTAAGTAGTTAATTATGATTTTTTTTCCTTTTTCCTATCTTCTCTATGCATCAATGATTTTTTCCAAATCGACAGAGAAAAATAAATATCTGTCAAAAATACAATTTTGTACTTAATTTTCAAATTATCAATAACATGTAAGTGTACGGACCAATTAACATTTAGTAAACTTTATCAGATCGAATTTAATTTTAGGAATCCTTTTAATAGTTATCCTGCTGGAAATTTTGGTGGAGGAAGCCCGTACCTACCGATGAATACTGGTTTACCTGATGGTAACTATTTTGGTGGCTCTCCGCAGCCTTTTGGACCAGGACTAGGCAATCCTTTTGCTTCACCAGGTTTTGGAGGTAATTTCAATTTTCCACAACCACAACCAGGTTTTTCATCCTATCCTCCTGGTCCTATGAATGGTTTTTCAAATCCATTCGGTGGTGCTGGCTTTGGACAGGGCTACAATCAGTTACCCGGTGCTGGATTTAATCCTGCTGGAATGAATTTCAATCAGGGAGGCTTTTCTCAGCCGATTGGTAATAACCCATTTGGTCCAAACTTTCCTCCTGGAGGTTTTGGAGGAATTCCGATTGGACCTCAAGTGGGACGAGCCTCTCCTTTTAATCGATTCATATCACCTCATCGAAAACATCCTCATCGAAGTCGTAGTCGCCGTCATAGTAGTAGCGATAGTAGCAGCGATGATTTTAATCGGGGTGGTCCTTATGGATACAATGGAGGCTATGCAAACTTTCAGCCATTTCCCATTTCACCACGTAATTCACCAACATATAGAAGATAAAAGAAAGAGTATATTTAAATAAAAACAAATAAAGAAACTATATTACGAAATACCCGTATAACGTCCAACAAATAACGGTATATTATTATGAATGTTTCGTAAATAAAATAAAAATGGCTTATCGAATGTGAGTGTTATAGGTGTTTCAAAGAGCCCCATTCCCGATCTGGATAACATTGTAATAACTGTTGCTGCACTTGCTTCTGTCCCATATTCATCTATCTCGATGATTGCTTTATGTTTAATTTTTGATATAAATAATTCAGGTTTACCATTTTTATTCATATAGCTAAAATCTGCTTTTTGTTGATCAAATGCTTGATGAACATTGTAGAACTGTTTAAAATATTTCACAAAATCGAGAGATGATTCTATTTTAAATTTTGGTAATTTTAATTGAATTTTTTTTGTTGACGACATTTTATTTAACGTATCAAATACACCATCAAGTTCTCTTAGTTTCTTCTCTAAGTTTAGTAATGGGATGTTTTTATTGGGTAAAGCAAGTGTTAACACATATTCATTATTTTGATATGGAATATTAACCCATTGGCAATTATGTTTTGGATCATTATAATAGCGATATTGATTGACTATGTTCATCATTTGTTGTTTTATTATTTTTTTTGTACTTAAATAAAATTGACCTTCTTCTGTTTGTGTATCATCAAATGATTTCACCCATGATCCTTTGAAATATAGCGCGTTTACTAGTATAAGACGAGTTAATGAATGTATATCTTTTTTTGACAAAAGTTTTTTAATTTTATCATTTGTTTTATTCGCAATCCAATTGTTAATTATCTCAGCTGCTTCTTCCTGTTGACTAAAATCGACTAACTGCAATTCCGATTGATAATGTTCTTTTAAAATATTGTTATATTTATCGTTCAATTCAAATGTTTTATCTGCATACAGGCGATTGGCTACAGTAAATGTTGTTGTTTGATTTGATGCACGACTAGTTTTCCGGTGTTGTTGATGTTTATTTAATGATTGAAAAAACTTATTTATCCATTGATGATAATCATCTTTTGTTTTCATACCTGTAATATGTTCAAATTCTGAAAATGTTTTACCCTCACTACCTTCGCCGGCCATTAACATGGCCAAATACAGACTAAGTGGAGACCATATTAAATTTCGTCGACCAACTACATCCGTTGATGAATGATGGCGAGCGAATTTTGCGGTAAAATGTAATAGGGGTTGTGCTAATGTTTCATTTGTCTCTGTACATGGAATAAAATATAGACAAATGATGAATATGCATGAAATTATTAACATTTTTGTATCACTTATACAACTAGGAAAAAAAGGATAAAATGATGATATATCACACACTGACGAAGAAAAAGCTGAATATTGACACAATGATATCGTTTGTATGCAAATATCATGTACTCGACTCTTTGTATTGTTTGCTATGAACATGTTTTCTCTCATGTAATGCACACAATAATGATGATAAAATTATCCTGATATGAAAGAGAAACATCCCCCTTTCTCTCCACTAGCATTCACACTGATGATTCTCGCTTCATGATTCTATTTTAATAATTCAACGATGTCATCAAGATTTCATTTCTTATTTAAACTGTAGCATCCCAACCATCTACTAAACCTGTAGGAAAATTCTGAACCAAATTTCATGATTTTTAATATTAACAACATTACTGTTGAACACTCTTTTGAAACAATAATCGATGATTCAAAGATTGAAACTCAAATAAATAGATAAATAAAAAAACATATACAAAAAATCAACCTTAGATTCTGAGTCATACTGGTGAGAGAGAACAATAAACGAAATTTACTTATATAATGAAAAAAAGAATCAGACACATGTCATTCATGCCGTGTTGTTATAAGGGATACTGATGCCAATTAACATACCTATAAAAAAATCATAGGCGATGATGAGTCACCGTATCATAGAGGAAGAAAACTGAATGCTGTAAAAAAAAATAAAAAAGCGAATATAGTAGAAAACAAGCGTGTTTTTGCATCAGTAACACAATTTATAGTGAATATATTTTTATTTTAGGCTTTCCATGTTGTCAGTATATTTTTACCTTACTTTTCTGAGTCAGTGCACGAAATGAATCGGCTATTTTCTAATTTCTAGAGTGTTAAAGTGCAATGTCTGTCTCGAAAAAAAGTTTTTTTATGACTTTTTATTAAGAAAAAATTCAAAATATTTTTAATGAGAGAAGACAAAGATACAAAAATAATTTGATTGCTACTTTCAGAAAAGTCTGTTTGAAGTCCGGGTTTTATCGAACCATAGAATCTTCATTATTGAAAGATATCGTCTTTTCAGTCTTCTAATATGCACAGCTGAAGAAGAGTATCTCACTATAAATTTCGAAAAACAATAGAGAGAATACAAAAAGTCAATAAAATATCGATTGTTGATATTTAATTTTCAGGTATATCAATAGGAATGTTGATTTAGTAGTAAACGAGAAAAAATAAAAGTGACAGCAAACACAGTAGCAAAAGTGTAATAAAAACACTGGAAAACCCGACAGCAATAGTTCTTAATGAATGTGTTTTTGTCATTGTTAATAGAAAAGTTTCTCTATTCGGTTTAGCTGCTAGTATTGGATTATCATTCTTTGCAATTTCATAATCTCTACTTGACCACTCCTCTATAACAATACTTAAATATGTAGTGAGTTATTTTTTTTCTTCTTTAGCTGTCAAACTTTACGATAACTTTATTATGACTTCAATGTAAAAGCATCGGAATGGCTCCACGTACTTAACAGAATATGAAATTCATCCGGTGAAATATATTTGACACAAATCAAATTCTCATACAGTTTATAATAAATAAAATAAATTTTTGTGGTTTATTTAACTGATTTTCAATTTTTTAAAAACTTAATTTGAATAATCACTTTTAACTCCGATGACAAAAAGACTGATCTCTTAAAAACAATCAATTTAATTCAATTGGTACTTTGTCAATATGAATACGTAGTTTGAGGTTTTTGCTGTCACTAGCACAACAAAGTTTGATCAAAAGAAATTAATCGTATTCAACTGTTTATTTATATTGAATACAACTTGCAGATGGATTTCTTCCGATGATCCAATTAACGGAAAAAAACGAGAACTAGCGTGCAATACAGTCATGTTGTACAAAAAACCACGGACGGTGTAGCAAACAGTTTGAGATGAAACCATATTCGCTCTGGTTTTTTTGGTTCTTGTCAGTTTCTTAAGAAATATTTGTGTCTGTTCTGTTTATACAGTTAAATCAACAGCTGGGAAAATACCAGAAGAATAAACTATACGTGATTATTTTTCTCTCTTTTTCTTTGTTTCGCTTGTAAGACAAATCTACTCATTACTTGCTTGGTAGAAAAAACTTACAAACGTTTGTAGGAATGAAACTTTCCTTGTCCAAGAAAAAACTGCCTGATACTCTGCTGTTTTTTTCCTGATTTCGAAAAAAATCTCCTGATCAACTCTTAATTTTTTACGAAAACTGATTTCAAAAAACTGGATTTAGGCACCCTGACGAAAACCTTCTTTAATCTTTTGAAAAGATGGCGGTATTTTATTTCTATAGTCATGACACGAATAGAATAAAAAAACTTGCATAAACGATTGGATAATAGAACATAATAGCGTGCCCACTTGATCCATTTCACACAATATAAAAATGGAATTAAAATCTCAAGTGAGAAATATTATAAAAAACAAAAAACAATGCTCTTAAAAACGTTACTTGAGGAAAAAAAATTACTGTCTGTTTGCTCTTATCAAGAATTTCGAAAGAATATTGAAAAAAAAAAGTTTAAAAAAACAACTTAAATTTCCTCACAAAAGCATGGCGTTAAAAGCACATAAAAATATGTACAAAAAAACATATTGTTACTGAATTTTATTCAGGTTCAGAGTGTATAAGTGTATATTCTAATGACATCTTAATTAATAACAAAGTATAGAGAATAAAAATAAAAAATTTAACAAATAAAAATCTACTTTCTAACCACTTATCACAATACAGATAGGAAAGTAGTGAACAAAGCTTTTAGGCTTTTTTGCATAAAAACAGATAAATTTGTTAGATTAAATGCATATGTGCATAGATATGTAGAGGGTTGGACGGATGTATGAATCCCTAAAGAAAGTAGCACATTATTCTCAAAGTAACACGATAAAAAAGGAAAAACGTAAATGGACTTATCCTGACCACTAAGCATGCAAAGTTATAAGAATAAAGAAAATAAGTGAAATAAAGATAGATCATTATGCATGTGAAACGTACATTTCAAGCTAGCAGTAACAAAAAAGTTTCTAATTATGAGATTTGTTGGCATGTACAATGATATTATATAGTGGACGGATAAGTTGTGATGATCACTGATCAGAATTTCGTTGTCTTATCATGAATAACAACAGTGGTAAAAGCATCACATGTTTCGATATGATTATGTAAGAAATATATCTCATTATTGTTGCCATTGTTGGTAAACGATGTCGTAAAGCAGTAACTGGTGACATCATGATTACCTGTGGAGATGATAAGTGATTTTTATCATCGTTCGTTTTCTTGTAAGTCATTGCGCTGCAATTTGAACATAAATCATGTTTTGCATCTTGCTTAAATGGAATAGCCAAACTTCCATCGGATTTTGATTTAGATAGGCGATGTTGACGATTACTTTCTAAATATAGATTTTCGATTTTATCAGGTGTTCGATTGGAATTACCATCGAAGAAGGATCTTGGTGAGCGTTCAAACGATTGATAACCAGAATCATTGAATTGAGGATAATTCGTACGAATTGATTTCAATTTGAGATCAGATGCAACGCTTTGATTATGCAAATCGAAAAATGTGTCTTCATCATTGTCTGTGTCATCCATTGAACAGCGGGTACCTTGTGCATTGCTATTTCGTTGTTGATTAAAAAGACTTTGGTGTTGTTGTTTATAACTATCTACTGATGGTAGAAATTGTCCATCATCAAATTTAATACTAAATCGTTTGGACAATGAAGAGTTTCTGGAAAAGAAATATTGATTAGATCAAAAGACAATTGAATCTGATAATTAATTAGCTAACCTTCTTGAATTTGATGCTAATCTATTTTGTAAAGGTGTTTGTTGTTGTTGTTCTTCTTCTTCACTCCACGTAACATATTCTTTATTTTTTGATCGTCGTAATAATGAATGTTTTCTGTAAGATGATGTTGTCGATTTATTTGAGCAAAACGACGTGATTGAATCTCGTTTCATTGAGTTTCGTCTATAACCATCAACACATTGTCTTACGTAATCAATCACTTCCTCTGGTTCCTGCACAACTTCTTGTCGAAGTTTACCAGTCTCATCAAATATTTGTGTATATATCATATCGATAAAGAGGCGTGGATCATCTACATCTGGAAGATCAAAGGAATGAGATTGTTGTTGTAATGATGTATCTGAACTTGTGGTGAGACCTGTTCGACTTCGTCGACGTTTTGGAGGATTTTTGATCTCCGATGATAAATCTTCATCCGTTGGAGATACTATACCGCTACGCGGTAGTGTCACTGAAGGCAACGTACTTGAGCGTTTCAATTCATTGACTTCAGTCTGAAATAATTTAGTTGGCAGGGATTGGGATAATTTTTGATCTTTTTTCGATCCTTCTGGTGTATTAAAAAATACCGGTTTATAATTGATTACTATAATATGTCGTTTTCTGTGTTTAGCATTTCTCATGCTTATTTGACTTTCAATAAGATTGGTTAACTGATGAATTTCATTATTTTCAGTAGTCAGAGATTCTTCTGAAGTAGAAATATTTCTTCTTTTATGAAATCTTCTTGTTGCACGACGACGCAAACAAACGCGAAATCGTTTCAATTTTGTTTTACGATTTGACGACAAAACATGTTCTGCTAAACGATTCTGTGTTTCATCGGTGTCCATTTTCAGATTCGTTGTTCGATTTTTAGTAAAATTTCGTTCTTTACATTTTACGTTGATTTGTTCAGCGGCCTAAAATTAAAAATTTTTAAAACCTAAATCTTGCCTTTTAGGTAGATTGCTAATTGAATTACTTAAGTGTCATAATATCGATTTCATCAATTAATCATCAGTTCGCAGATCTACTGTGTGCACTTACAATAGTTAACTAAATAATGTGTTGGTAACTGTTACATTTGCAGACGCATGTCTCTTTTATTTATTTCATTTCGTTTTACCGTGGTCACGGTCAAATTTTTCTAATTCTCACTTTTTTCAATAACACCCTGTCAACAGTTAAGAAAAAGAAGCTTAATGTTTTCCATCAAAGTTGCTTTCACCCGAGGAAGACTTACACAACTATTTTCACAAGTAATTATTAACATATTTTCTGTTTTACGAGTAAATAGGAAAAAGAACATTAAAATATTAAAAAACAATTCTTTTTTCGTTGTACTTTGGGCGAAAGATGACTCGTAGTGATAAAATTACATTCGAAACAATCTAACAGAATATGAACAAACCTGTATTTGTGTCTTAACATTGGAATACGTTCTTGCTGTTGTTGTTTCAGCATTTTTCTTCTTACAGAGTTGAAATGATAGTTGTGACCGTTGTTTTATAAAAGCTGATTTATCAAATGTATTATTTCTTTTCACTCGTTTCTCTTGATGTTTGTTTCTCTTATTCTTTTTTTTTATTATTCTATTTTTTGTTTGTTTTCGGCTTATTTCTTCTCTTTTTCTCGTCCTTCTGTGTTGAAAATTATTTTTTTCTAAAAATTTTAACAAAGAACGACGAGAAATAATATTTCTATCATATGCTTGTTGCGGTTGTCGATATATTTCAACATCATTGATTTCATAATAATTTTTATTTCTATATTTAGTATTTTCCAAATGGTGACTGTGTTCTGTTGCTCCAGGTTTTTTTTTCGTTTCTTCTTCTGTTCCTGATGCTTCTTTTTCAGTAATATAATAAACGATGTATGCCAGCGATAATGGTGCTTTTTGTTGCGTTTTTATTAAAACCTTGCGTGTTTTATGCCGATGATGATCACATGTGTGTGCTCGATGTGAATAAATAATGAACGTTGATTTTTGATAATGACTTTGAATATAGTTTAGTGGTGGAAATAATGTTTGCAATAAATGACAACAAGATAATAAGTCAGTCTGACAACTAGTCGTTGTCACTGTCGAGTTTTGGTCTAGTTCAATGTTAATATCTGAACAATCGTCTGTGTTTGAAGAATTTGTACATAAATTATTCAAAGAACGATCCAAACAAATTTGTTCACAAGAAGGAGAAGAACATTTTGAAACAATCACTAAAAAAATAAAAGAAATATTCAACTTCATTCATTTTGTGCAAACTTTATTTGTTGAATCTCGTATTTTAATAGAAAAACATAAATTGCCCAACAACATCAAATAAAAACAATAACAAAAATCTTCTCTATGAGAGTGAAATGTGCTAATAATAGTAGAAATGAAATATTTATCCAACTTTACCCATATCATGAGATACAAATGGATTTTTCATCCGTACTAGTCAATAGAGGTGGACAGAAGCAATTCAATGAAAGTTGGCTGTGAGATCTGTATATAAGCATTGCTATTAGTATTACCTACCGTTTAGAATAATCGGCAATAAATATATTTACGGTGATATATCGAAATATGTTTTTTTTACATATTAATACGCATATTACTTTGCATACAGAAGTAGCTACAGTAATGTTAGATTTATACTAGCTAAATGCACAAAAAAATTTCAAACTCTTTGTACAAACTATTTTAAGAGTGTCTTTTCATCTATTCGAACAAAGTAAGCGAATAACTAACCGGATGGTATCGTTGAGGTATCCTGAGCCACATCAACTAAACGTTCTTGTGGTATAATCATAGATGAGCTTTTTCTTTCGTTTGATCGACCAAGACGATCAATGCTGTTGTCATTAGTGAGCGTTGACTTTTCCAGTGCCGAAGCAGATGAAATAGATTTTCGTTCTGTGATCTAACATATAAAAAAGACAAATAGATTTGAAGACAACACAAGATTTTGGTTCCCATGTCAGAAGATTACAGTTCAATTGTCTGTTATTTCATATCTAATTCTATAGAAGTCTATAGAAAATGTACATTTTCTATCATTTATCACATAGCTAGTACTATGAACGTTATGTACTTACCAGCTCATAAACTTGATGATTTGTGACATGAGAAGTTTTGTCTAGAAATTGAGTAATATCCACGTACAGAAATTGTTTATTATCATTCGGTTTGTCTCGACTCTCAGTCGTATTTGAAAGCTGTGATTTGCCAAACTCAACTGTTGTGTTCAAAACCGATTTTGTATAAAGCGTTTCTAAACCACGCTGCATTTTTCCTTGTAAAGATATACTCATTATATCCAAATTATTTTTAATTTCAGCAATATCGTCTGTACTAGAATCTGATCTATTATCTTCAGGGATAGAAATATCTCTCGACAATTTCTCTTGTGTAGATGATTCACTGCATTCTGACACGTTTTCTAAATAAGTCGGATGATCAATTGTTGTACAGTTTTTGACTATTTGTCGATGTTTTTTTGCAGAGTTTGGCAACTTTGACCGACATTCCGTGTATGTGAATGGTAAGGAAATCGATAAACGTGAACGATCTAATGACACATGTTCGATTGCATTTGGTTTATTGAGACAAGTATCAACATTTGACGAACACGGCTCTTGCTCTACTAATTGATCTGCATCCAAATCTAGAGAAAATATTTACTTCAAAAGTAACCTAAAGAGTAAAATATCATGAAACAATACCTATGCGTTTTTCTTCTGGGATGACGTTCGCTGATAATGTATCATCTTCGTCGAGAGCTTGTTCATCATCTTCTTCTGATGAAATTTCGGATGATGTATCTGACCGGTGCTCAAAACAAAATTCATCATCGTTATCCACTGTCATATGGATTGAATCTCCTTCTACTAATAATTTGTCTATATTATTTAAACATCGTTCTTTTATGGGAGAAAATTCATTATTTATCATTACACCATTCTCCGCTACTGTGCAATTTTTTTCTACGACTGTATTTGAACCTCCTAGTAAATTTCGTCGTTTGTTTGCTAATCGTTGTGCTTCATGAAGAAATAGAATGCTTTTTCGTTTTCTATCGCTCTGCTGCTGATCAGTATAATTATCTTCATTAATTGACTCCGAAAGCAGCGACGAATGAGGACTACAGCCTAAATTTTCGCGGATATATTCAAGGTCAGCAATTTTCTCTTGCATTTGCTTCTCGTACCAATCCATCCAAAATCGTTCAGGAATCTGATGCGCTTTTTCAATCATTCGTGGTGATAAAACATTTCGAGATGACGATGATGTTGAAGCACTTGACTGTTGTAGCAATGTACTGAATGAAGGATAAGATGCTGCTGTTGTTGCAGAAGTTGGTGTAGGTACAGATGAAAACGGTGATCGATTCGAGCCATGCGATAATGATCCTTGATATAAATGTAATTCTGGAGCAATTTCATGTTCGAGTTCACGTATACGTTCAACTAATTGTAGAAATTGCTGTTTCTGGCTTTTTTCATTGTTCGTTGTTGAAACAGCACTCGTATCGGCCAAAGCGTTTCGACGTTTCCGTCCTGAAGGGGATGCCACATAGCTGATGCCAGTTAGTTGACCAGATACACAAGCCTTCCTGATTCGCTTCCATCGACCATTGGTTGTTGCAGTTTCCGTAGCTTGGAAGCCATTTGTTCGCGAATCACTCGAGCGTCGTCTATCTTTTTGCATGACTTTATTCTGTTAGCCAAACAAAATAGAAAAAGATGATTTTCTTAATTCAAAGCATTCTGGGAAAAAACATATTACCAATCGGTAGAAAAATCTCTTCAGGTGGTAAAAATAGCTTACACTAAATAAGATGACATGAGAATGCTATTGAAAATCTTATGAAATTAATAGCACAACTTTTCTCAGAAGGAGATATTCACTGTTCAAACTGTCTTTTTGCACAAGTGAAAATATTAACAGCAACAGCTACGTTGCTATCTTTATTTTCTCACTTTATATAATCTACGTGCTTTTCGCCTTTTTCTCATTTCGATAAATCTATTTATTGCCATATTAAGAGAACTAGAGTTTATAGGCATGAATGTAAATATAATCTATGTAATATTATTTTCACTTCAACAAGAAAGAATTTTCTTTAAAAAAACTTATTATACTTGACATAAAACTTATTCTCTGTGATCCGAGGAGATTTTGACACTACCAGTATCATTCTATTTAATTATTTTGCTCTGTATAAGCTTAAAAAACTTACCCAATAATTTTAGTCTAGAGCACAAACAGGTGTTTGAATCTTCTATCGAAATTTAGAAGATTTAAAAAGAATTTTCTCCCCTTTTATTGCAATTTATATAGCAATAAAGATTATTGAGAGTGCACAAAAATAAACTATTTTTAAACCCTCTCATATAAGCATGAAAACATATACTACACATTTTTCTCTTATATATGTTTGTCATATATATTTTGCTAATTCAGATGACGTTTCAAGCATGTACCAGCTGTAGTTATGTTCTTTTGAGTATATTCCTTTTCGACAAAATTAATAAAAATTCGTTTTTTATGAGAAAAACATACAACAGGCTATGACATTTTCTGTATATTACTTTTATCATTTGAAAATAGTCCGATCTCGTTTTTTTTCCAAAATGTAGAATATTTCATGAAAAATCCACTGTAAGTTTACCCTTCAATAAAATGCATAAAAAGTTTTTTTAACTGAAATTCTTTGGTAATTTTTATTGGCACGTGTAAACCGTTGTTTTTCAAATTGTCTAATGGAAGACTTGTCCCTTAGCTCTTTACTACTCATATTTGAAAATAAAAATATTGTTTATTCTCTCATATAGATGGACTCTAATTTTGCTTAGGCATAGTATTCTTTCGATGATGTGCGGTTCTGGAGATATTTCCACACAAATCCACCAGTATTGCATGATGTGAAAGCAACATGAACATCTGACTATATGATTTTGTATCAGAACCTACTTTTCAAAAAATACCAGTTAGACGATAAGTCTCGTTAAAACTACATGTCAACTTTCGGAGACACTTACTTTCTAAACACTACCCATGTATTAATAGGCAAGCCACCGGCTTTACCCAGAAACTTCTTTATTTCGTCTCATATGGTAGCATTCGACAAGTAAGGGGACTCAGAAACCAAACTGTTAACGTTTTCTTTGTTTCTGAGAATGATAAATGGCATTGAATTATAAGAAACTCATCATAATGAACATGAACCAAAGTTCAGTTTGTGTCTGACTGTCCAGGTAATTTGGATTTTCTACAAAACTTCGCACTAGAAATGTTTCTGGCCAAAGTTGGTAGCTTTCGTAACACTAGATGGGTAGTGTTACGACGCTCTATACAGCTAGTGAGAAGAGAGCGTTCCAAATGTTTATAGGAACATTCGGTTAGGGAAATCCTAAAAATACCGAAATATACAACTTACAACCAGAGAAAACCTATTTTCAGAATAGCTCTTTCAGAGGAGGACGGAAGATCTTAACATATTTTTCTACTACTGTCGAACGCATCATTTAATAAGATATTCCCGTCGTTCACATGACGTAACGAGAAAATACTGATCTTATCTTCCTTGCAACTAGGATAATATTATAGAAGCCATTTTCCCTCATCCCATAATAACTTGAACATGTATGTTTTGAGGAACTGTAACGCATCCACCTCAGGTGTCCATGAAATTGTTTTTTGAAAAACTTGTCACCAATGATTCCGTCCAGCACCATTTGACATTACCAGATGTTAAGCCAAAAGTCATGACATCAGAAAAAAAGTCACATCAGTTCAACAGAATAGTATTTTGATAGCGTTAGATCAGATCCAGTGATCATATCATTCATTCATTCATTCATTCTTCATGTTGATTATAGATCGAATCATCTTCGATGTCTTTTTTTTCAAATCTGCATAACATAATCAGATAACAATAACAATAGTAACAATAACAAAAATTCTTTCGATAAAAAATTTGCTAAAAAAGACTTTAAAAAACATTTCCTTAAATAGACACATAAACACTCTCTTTTAGAAACAAAATTGACAACGATGGAAAATAAATATTGAACATTGATCACAAATTATTCATTTATCGAATCTTCTTTTGCTGCTGTTGCTTGTTGTTCTTTGAATTCAGGATACATGGATGTTACTACACCCCATGTCACGGTACCAGTTGAGAGTCCTTGAAGAACATTTGCCAGCTCATCAATCTAAAAATGTAACAATGGATAGAAGAATATCTAGAGGTAACTAATGTCATAGAAATATACCTTTAATCGTATTTGTTTAAATGAGTCTCGCTCTCTCAATGTAGCCGTATACGGTTGTTTTAAACTATCAAAATCAATTGTAACTGCAAATGGTATAGCAATCTCGTCTGATCGAGAATAACGTTTACCAATTGAACCTGAACTTGTATCAATCTTATGTGATATACCAGCTTGAGTGAGTGAAGAAGCTAAAATATAAAAAAATATTACACGTTGGATTTATTCACTTTGAAAATACTTACAAATTAGTTTAACAAACGATTTGAATTCATTATTTCCACTTAATGGTAATACAACACATTTGTATGGAGCTATGATTGGCGGTAAAGTAAAATATGTTCGTTGTTCATCGTCTTCTCTTACAACAAAATTATGTTCCCACATGGCATACATAATTCGACCAATACCAAATGATGGTTCAATAACAGATGGAACATATTCTTCAACTGTATCAAAGAAATGAAATCAAGAAACGGATATAAATCTACAAGTAAATTCTTACCATGTACAATTTTTTCAGACGTTTTCAATTCAAACATCTGTCGTGTAATTTTAAATTCTTTACCATCAATATTAATTTGAGTATTATTACTTTGATTTAATTTTTCATGTAAATTTTTTGCATCATCATGCGATAATTTATTCAAATAATTCATAACAATATCTTTATCTTGTTTAAATTCTTTACCAATAATACTATTCTGTGTTGAAATGTCATTTACTATAACTTTTTTTGATGCTGGTAATGGTTTTTCGGCTACTAACTTTATTCCACTAAATTTTGTATGCTGTGTTAAATCGTAACATGATCGATCGGCACATCCAACACATTCAATCCAACCGTATGTTGTTTGACATTCAGCATCCCAACAATCTGTAGCATAATGTGCCATTTCATTACTCATATGTTGTCGAAATCGTAGACGTTGTTTATTCACACCACATTTTGTTAAAAATAAATAAATTCGTCCAATAAAATAACCTAAAGTTTGATTATCAACTAATTTAGATTCAACAGCATGACCAAGGTTCGTTAATTGAGCTGGTTGACCATTCATTTGATTTGTAGCAGAATATAAAGTTATTTCTAAATTAGCTACATCATCAAATTTTGGATGAGTTTTGTCAGCGGGATCAACAAAATGTTCAATCTCAGCCATTGTAAATTCTCTAAAAAAAATTACTAATAAATTATTATCTATCTCAGCACAAACACAAAATTGACTTACCTGACTCGTATAAGACCAGATCTTGGCGATATTTCATTTCTAAATGAATTACCGATTTGTGCAGCGGCAAATGGTAAACGTCCGTGATTGAATTCTAATAAACGTTTAAAATTCACAAACATTCCTTGCGCTGTTTCTGGACGCAAAAAACTAAATATAGAGCAAATTAAGAATAAACAAACAATCTAGGAAATATAATATATATATACCCTTTAATTTGTCCAGTGGGACCAATCGATGTTGCAAACATTAAATTAAATGCAACTGGTTCGGATAAATCATTATTTGTCAATGGTGCTTTCATGTTATACTTTTGAATAGTTGCATGCATATCGGTTGATTTCATATTGTCAATCTAAAAACGTATGAGAGTCACGTTTCTGTATTCATAAAAAATAAAAACAAGAACTTACTTGTGGTAGGAGTCTTTCAATTTCATCTTTTTTCTCATTATTAATATCTTTTGCTTTTAACAATTTTTCTAAATGACCTAAAATAAATCCAGTCATTAGTAACTGAATTATAAGATTAGTTAGTATTTCACCTTCAATTAGATGATCGGCACGATAACATTCACCAGTTTTAACGTCTTTTACCATATAGTCAGAAAATCGTTCTACATGACCAGATGCTCTAAGAAACAACAAATAGGGTTATTAGTATTAGAATTTAGAACGGGATTGAGTTTTATACCTCAACACAATTTCCGGAGTTAACATTGAACAATCAACTTCAAGCATTTGTTCTTCTAATATAAAATGTCGACGCCATTCTGCTAGTACATTGGCTTTAATAGCGCAACCCATTGGTCCATAATCGTATAAACCAGTCACTCCTAAAATCTTTTGATTTGATTATCAATTGTTGAATGCAGTGCAATTAACTCGACTGCACACTTACCACCGTAGATAGAAAATGATTGATCATAGAAAAATCGTCGTTTCAATAGATCTTCCATTTTTAAACGATCTATCACATGTTCCTTTGGCGTTAATTTTGTAATCTTAAATGACAGTTACATGGTATGATCGTTTATATGCAGTCATTGTCTTCTTTTACCTGATCTTCAAGTTTCTTTTTTCTGATTTTTAATTCACTGACAGCTTTTTTCAGTTCAATTTCATCACCTTTACTATCTTTCAATTTTTTGACAATATCGCCCTGAAAAACCAAAACATTTCTTATCGGTGAAATGACTCAAATGACAACATACTTGTTCTTTAACGGCAGCTCTATACGGTTCCAATAATGTTTCAATATTTGCCTCTGCCATCGATTTTTTTAGCTAAATTTTAATAAGATCTTGGTATAATCGAGTCTGACGTTTTGTTAATGTTTCAAGTGTTCAATACGTAGTCGTCGTTCTTTTTTCTGTGATTTTTCAGTTCGTATCGACGAAACTTGTTCGCAACGTATTGCAGAATTGAAATTTCGATCTGAAGACGATAGAAATAGCAAATAAAAGAAGGATCTGCTGAAAACATATAAACGTGATCAAACTATGCATAAAGAAAGAAAGTCTATAAAGGGTTATTAGACAAAATTATTATCTGAAAAAGCATGAGAATTGCATAAGCAATCTTATATCGAATAAAACTCTGTCTAATAGTCCTTAGTTCAGTTTCTAATGTTCGTAACCCTTTGCGACTTTCGAACAAGAGAGAAAAAACTAAACAGGATCAATTACTAAAGTCTAATTAAAGACTAATTAGAAAAGAGAAAAATACAAAAAGAAAGATCATTATATGTTTATTTCATACTGTATATAACCGGATGAGAAAAGTGTTAAATGAAAAATAAAAAGATAAGAAAGAACTTCAGATTTATCCGACATAATAGAAGGCGGTAGAAAGACTGTAGTAATAAATTACTTCTTCATTTTTTTCTTTTTGATTTGTTTTACAACATGAAAGAGATTATGAATTCAATTTCATCAATGCAAAATCTACAGCTAATTCTAACAATGATCCAAGTGTTGAACATCCATACTTGTAGCTTGTGCTTGTGTTTCTTTCCCTCCATCCTTACCATTTGCTTTTAATTGCTTTTCACATGTGCCTACATCGATTGGGTATCATTTAGAGAAAAAGTCTCATCCTAAACAAGATCAACTATGTACACTTACTTCTGACACATTTGCTAGACAAACAAACTTATTTGTATTTGTATCAACACTAAATAACATGATGACAACTTTATTTAAAATTGTCATATTTTTGTTATAACATTATTTAACAGTTTTGTATCACAACCAATTGTAAAATTAGCTATTAAACATTCACAAACAGGTTGCTTTTAAAATTTGTTTACACGATTCGAATGTTTTTGTCAATTGATTTTTACTATCAGCTTTATCTAAATCCGATAATTTTGTTTTCAATTTACGCAATAAATTTCCCAACGAATCACGACGTCATTGAGATATAGATGCTTGTGATATTTCACCATCAAATAATAATATTTCTTTATTCGCGATGTACGTAAAATCGGCGATGTATCATGTATTCGACGCGTTAGATCATTCAATTGTTGCTCTAATATACTAGGTTTTTTGAGACACTAAAAAATAAGTCCAATTTTACAAAAACTTTTTCTATTATTAGCTTTTATTACACACTTTTTGTGCATCTGTTCCCGTAACGGCAACAATTTGTCCTATGCCTTTTGCTATTGCTTCTTCTGTCACCAAAATACAATGATTCACATGTTTATTAAATTTTAAATGTGTACAACCACAAAATTCTACCGAGTAGTCATTTCCATTGTGACTCTATGGATTTTCTAGTAATTGATCAACGGACATACCAACCCAGTCAGTGTGTAAAAATAAACCGCAAGAAACGCACATTGCCACGGAAACAAAGGCTTTACACGCGTATTCCTGCGGTTTATTTTTACACACTCGCAGCTTCTTGCGCATTATTATTCGAAACTCGCTAAATGTGTAAAATTTTTCTTAAACAGAGTTTCCTGCGCTTTTCTGAAACGACTATGACTGACTTGGAATCGACACAATTCTCACTGGGCCTGGATATATTTCATCACTGCGCGTAAATCTTTTATTTGTTTAGCTAACTATAACGGCGCATCTTTTGCATAGATTTTAACCCATCAACCATCAATCATTTCATTACATATATTTTCTGTACGTTTCATATCTTCTTATGACATTGCACGTTTTGCACTAAAATTAAACCTTAAACGATCGGGTGTCACCAATGATCCTTTTTGATCGACAACATCACCCAATTTAGATATAAAAAGCGTCTAAAATATAATAAAAAGATCAATAAAAACTTCAAGCTTACATGAACGGAAAAAAATAATTTTTGTTTTTTCTGAAATCGATAACTTTCAAATGAAAGTAAAATGTAATTTTATCAGCTATATATCTAAATCTTCGATAATGCAATGTGAAGAAAATTGTGATGCAATCAATACTAGTATATCTGTCATGTGCTGAAAAAACATTTATGCAACGGATAACACTAGAATTTTGTAATGTTAGTGCGACAAAAGGATTTTTATGTCGATAGACATTTTGTATTTGTTCAGAGATGTTTTTTTTCTTGTTTAGTCATTGTTTTTGCAAAAAGTGAGTCGTATGATCTAGAGAACTACGTAACGTAGAGACATTCTAAAAATGGGAAATAGCTCTCTGGATACTGAATGTGGACCATTTCATGTTCTATTTTTAAACAACCGTTCAGATTGGGCGGGATGAGTTTCACAAGTGGAAGACAAATGTGTCTTGAATTTCGAACTTTTTCATTGTTAATAGTTGTCCGGCGCCATATTTTTTGATTTGTAGACAGAATTGAGAAATGAATCTGTGTACATATTTTCTAATTAGTGAATTTCTGTTTCCACATACATACACCTAATAAAAGGTATACTAAGTGATTATCAGTTCTTTAAAACATGGAAGACACATTGAAGAATTTCATTGAAAAGAGAAATGATTTTAAAAGTTTATTCATTGATTGTTGAAACGGTTATAGAATAATCACAATAAGAAGAAAACAAGACGGATAGTTACTCCGCTGAAATTGCTACAAGCCTCTTTATAATATTTACTACTTCTTATCTTTTACGTATTTGTCGAAAGGATGGTTTACTCTGGTGTTATGTCATCTAAGCACATAGCTGGTTTTCTTGCTGATTGGTACTGTGAAAAGTTACTGCTTAAACATATGCCGTAATGTTCGCTAGTTGGAAGTGTACACATTGTCTATCAACATCGCAACTTGTGCGTAACACAATTACATTCTAGTTCTTTTAGTGTTTAGTGTGCGGACTAATCATAAAATAAAAGGACTCTTCCCCGGATCAAGTAATCCTACTAGAATCCTATAGGATATTACCAGTTATAGGATTTCGTAGGATTCCTATTGTAGGTCCTTATGAAGTCCTATGGCAGAAATGTCGCAAGGAATGTCAAGGACGGTAGCAAAAATCCTTGTCCACAATCCATTTTGTGCACTTTTGGAAGCTTAGAGAATACAAATCCCTGGATGAAAATTTCAGAGAAATTGAGACACAAACTAAGGTTTTCGAATCTATTTGAGTTTTATAGATCGGGGACCTTTGATGACTCTTAATTTTCGTGAATAAATCATTCATTCATTCAGTTAATTGAGTGCTTATGGTTATCAAGCAAAAACGAAAATATTATATTAAGAACAATTCGTGGCTCAACATTATTAGAAAAATCTAGGAAAGTTAACGCACGCAATAGGAGCCGTTTTTTTACAAGTCCACAGACTATACAGCTGACAGTTCCTTATCATCATAAAAGAATTCATCACCTTCAATCACACTTCAGTTAAGACTTAACTTAAGTTTTCTCGTGAAATGAGCCCCAGACAAAGACGAATTAAGCTTATTATTCTCTGTTGCAAATGGCTACTAGCCAACCATTCACTCATTTCGAAGATGACTTCTCAGATGTCTTCACGCGACACGACGTGTCTATTGATAAAATACGACACGTCAATAACCGTCCATTCATCAAAGGATGAGTCATACGACTGAACGCACATTTCAATAAGTGAGCTGCAAGACGTTCAGTTAGAAGTAAAAGTTAAAAAATTCATAATTAGCACAACAATTTTAGGACTTTTTCAACTGATTTTAACGATCTGTCACTAGCGTTCGCTCGTGGCATGTCTTAAGCATGATTGATTGATATCATTGTCTTTACTATACTCAGTTCATCGTACTGAAAATAAGGTGAAAACTGTTTAGAACAGATGAAATCGTATTTAATTCATGAAAATTGGAACAAACGTGTGGAAAAAAAGGAAACGTGGAAATAACATACTTTCAATCCTGGTTGAAGAAATTATAAGAAAAATCAGGTAAAAGATCTCAGCTACGAAAAATAAATCTTTTTTATGCCAAAATCACTGATTAGCGCAAGGAAAAAAACCTAATTAACTACCATTCTGATTTTGTTTTATTTTCAGTTGATACCCAAGCAACAAAATGCCTTTGAGAATAGGAGTAGCACTTTACCGTTTCTTTCTAGAGTAACGGTAAAGTGACACCTTTTCTTTTCAAAACAAAAGAAAAGTGATATCTTTTCTTGTTGCAAGAAAAAGAAAAGATATCGCTTTTCTTTTGTTTTGAAAAGAAAAGATGCCACTTTCCTTTCTCTCGAAAAAAAGATATGCATTATATCGTTACTTGCATTATATCGTTGTTGTAAAGTAAAAGAAAAACTCTTCTTTTGTTAATAAAAAAAGAGGTAGTAAAAAGAAAGTGCCACCCCTATTTAAGAATATCTAGCTATAAAATATGTTATCGGGCAATATCGGTTTGTGGTAGCTATCTATCTGTACCATTTTTAGTGAGTTAGCTAGCTATATCATCCGATAGTAAATAACCTGGTTTGAATTGCTATCTATCTATATCAGATAGTATATTGAGTTAGCTAGGTATATCGCCCGATAGTCGATATTTTTTTTCTACTTGGGTGCTCGCGAGTTGGATCTTTCCTGTATTCCGAACATTTGTATGAAAAAAATAAATTATGCTTTTTCCGAAAATATCTGGTTAGATCTGGGAAAATATTCTAAAACAGAATATCTTAGCATTATTCATCAACCCATGTAAAAATTTTATGTCTCAAAACGCGTTTCGATGCATCCGGATGTTTCAGTCTGGACGCATTTAAACACGTTTTTTCAAACGCAAATGTTCACATAGAAAGGCAGAGAGTGTGTGCCGAAGATATAACCACTTTAGGTAAGCTTAATTACAGGAAATACGCATAAGCCAGGAATCCTGTGCTTCGAATCTCCATTGTTTTGCCAAAGTTTTTAAAGAAGTTTTATAAAAGCCATCGAAAACTAATTTTTCAAAATTCTTATATTTTACTGGAATACTAGAACCAAATAACATTTCAATGACACTAGTTTGTAAAGCACGCATTTCTGGTTAAATGAGAGAAGAGTAACATGTGCTGAAAAACGGTTTCTTTTAAAAATTGTCTTTTCTCACGTTAATTCATTAATATCAAAAATACTGAACGTTTATTCCATAAACTTGACAATTGTTTACAAAAATATCATTAAAAACAAATCAGATAAAGTCTGAGCGCGCTATTATTTTGAACTGACAAACAGTGCCACGAATAGAAGTCCAGCATTACGGGACTGTAAACCTGAATGTGTCTCCTAGACAGCGCGAATCAATTAAGATAGTCCATTGAGTAGAATCCGTACAGACACTGTGAAAAAACTAACTTTTTAATAACCCTGAGCTAAAAAAACACAAAATTTTCAATTATTCCGAGGATATACACCCTTATACACTGCGCTGAATGAAACTATTGCTCTGTGATTCCAGTAGAGGAAGCCCTAATTAGAGGGAGCAGTCTCTCTGAATTTTCTGTTATTACGGATTTTGTTCTCATCGTTTTCTGCAAGACTTTTAAACGTTTTGCGTCAAAATTTTGACTCAAGTCTGACCGAAAAACAATCAGTATCTGCTTCTCTAGTGAGTATTAGGTATGTATATCGTCTGCTCGACACTTCGGCATTTTTTTAACTTTACCTTTGAGCAAATGTACTGTTGTCTAAAGGGTACCGCCGGTTTTTGAAATTTCACGTGATTAGCGTTCTATTATCGGGTAAGATAGAGATTTATAAGACGCATCTGATTATATGCTTCTTAGCACTTGGCAATGTATGGTTCTCGTGTAAACTAAAAAGTTGGTGCCTATGTAATACCCATGTAATAACAAACTTTTTTCTTCAACGCCCTTCTACTTTGTTGACAAACGCATTTTACCAATGAACTAGCGAGATGATCGCGCATGTAAATTTGCTCATGTAAATCAAATCAAAATCGTTCGACGCAGAAAACGACCAAAGACCAAACTTTATTTTAGTCTCATACGGGAACATAAACATTGAGAAAAAATGGGTTTTCAGCACTGAGGTAGTCCGCTTAATTTGTATTTTTTCAACTTCCTTTACATCTTCAATGGAAAATGAAGGCATATTTAAAATCAATAGACAAAACTGGATCGAATCATGTGTTGCTAAAATGTTTTTAAGAAAAAAACATTTTTTGAATCTTTTAATTTTTAAACCTTTAAACATAAAAACCAGCCAGAAAGTCAAAAATGTATCTTAATTATAATAATAAAACAAATGTATAACTATGGAAGCATAGAATACATTTTTATGAGACGTGTGTTGTTTTATAGCAGAGAATGTGAGGATATTTTTCTACAATTTTGGTCTTGCGACAAGCGTGGAAGACATAGCATTTCTGCTGATAATGATCGTTTAAAATAATCAAAATCATATTTAGTTTTTTGAATGGTTCTCTACCTTCTTAGAATTACACAATAGATCAATGACATGCACACGTGCGCGATCATGTCGCTATTTCATTGGTAAAATGCGT